CCCGCCGCCCCCGTCCTGGCCGGTGTGCACCAATCCCCCCCCCCCCCCCCGCCGCGGCGGCGGGGGGGGGGGCTCGTCCCCACGCCTTCACTCCCGCCGGCTCCTGCCCCCGCCGGCTGTGCGGAGCCGGGAAGCGCCTGCTCACCCAAATACTCTTCCCCTCCACCCTTTGCAAACCGTGCCCCTGTTGCCACTGCTAGTTAGTTGAAGGAAACTCCTTGAGGTTCTGCCCCTCCAACGACCCGGGGGACATTTCCCAAGGGAGGGGCGGGGCTGAGCCAATCTCAGGGTTTAGCATTTTCATCCGGGCATTCCCCAGATGCCGCGGCCGCCATCTTTGTTTTGTGCTGAAAGTAATGACGCTCACAGACGGCCGGGCGAAGGGAAGTGGCAAGATGGCGGCTCCCAGGGCGGAGGCGTGGAGCCGCGCTCGGGGGGGCCTTGGGGCGGGGCGCGGCTATGCCTGACCTAAGCTTGGCCCGAAAACCGCCGGACAAAGCCCGAGCGTGCCGGCGTTCACGGCCCCCTGCCGCGAGTCAGCCCAGGGGCTCCTTTAAGAGGCTTCGGCTGAGCGCCTTAGCGGTGCGAGGGCGGGGGATAGTGGCGTCACAGGCTCCACCCCCTCGCTCGACCGCCGCCGCCATGTTTAGTTGTTACTTCTTCACACAAGATGGCGGCTCCCAGGGAGGAGGCATGATCGCCCTGCCGTTACCGCTCCTCCTGCCGTACAGTTGCCACTTCGGGGCCTAACTCTGGCCTTTTCGAGCGGCCCCTGTGGGGAGGAATCAAAAGGAGGAAAGTGAGGATCGGACGCTGCCTTGCATTTGGTTTGCAGCGGAAGAACTGAGCCAGGAGGAAAAGAATAGGGGGGAAGGGAGAGCTAGTCTCAAGATGGCGGCTCCCAGAGCGGCAGGCGCAGCCTGAGGAGCAGAGCCGGACTCAGGGGAGAGGTGCGAGACCTCACGAGCCGTACAGCGAGAGCCCCCGAGCAGTCTCCGAGAGTTCGAGCTCGTTCCTCCGGCTTCTGGCGCGCCTCCATTCCTTAGGGGTGTTGAGGCTGCTAAGGGAGCGGCGGCTGCAATAAGCGCTGGGCGGGGAAGCAGCACGGTCTCAAGATGGCGGCTCCCACAATTGTGGTCTGAGCGCCGGCAGGGCTGGGACAACCGCGGCGCTTGTGGCTCCTTTCCACCCGCCCCGGAAGCCGGCCAGTGAAGAGGACTTGGGGGTGTGGGAACCGGGCCGGGGCTCCGCCATTTCCGGCGGGGGAGGGCTACGACTGAGGAAGGGAGGAGAGAGAGGCGGCTCAAGATGGCGGCTCCCAGGGCCTCCCGCCCGAGCCTGTGAGCGGGAGCGCCCGGGCAAATTGTCAGGGCGGCGGAACTCGGCGGCCTCCACCTTCTCAGGCTTAGACACGCGACAGTTCCAGGAGGCGTTGGAGGAGACGGGGTGAGCGAGAAGGACGGGAAGAACTGGAGGGACGGAGGGTAGTTAAGATGGCGGCCTCCATGGAGTCCGCCGCCGTGTGAGAAACCGCTTCTCCGTGAGAGCTGGCTTAAACGAAAAGGGGTGTGTGAGAGGAATCGGGGGGCCCTCTTCCCGCTCGGAGACTTTCTTCCTCTGCGCCTTTTGCCGGAACTATGGCTTCGGCCGTGTCGCCCGCCAACATGCCAGCGGTGCTCCTGCAGCCCCGCTGGAAGCGAGTAGTGGGCTGGTCGGGTCCAGTACCCCGGCCCCGCC